CCTATATTTATGAAAAATAAAATTATGAGGATCGGTCGCCAATATAACCATCTTACAGAACATCAATTTATATCATTCCAAAAGTTATCATTATGATAGAATTATGGTAGAATTAAAAAAATACTTTAAATTATGGAGAACTTGGTCCATAATTGACCCAATCCCACATTTAAGTCTCTATTCCGAAAATCACGCTGACGTTCTTATTAATCTAATGATCAAAATCCATATACTTCCGAAATTTAGTTTGGTTTCTTCAGAAAATGACTTAAACGCACATGAATGTGAAACTTTTGGAATATTTTTCAATCTCTTTGTGATCCCTTTAATTGATGTTATTCTGGTTCTCATTATCCCTAGCTGGACCTATTTAATTTTTTTTTTTTTTTTTAACAAAATCTTAAAACTTATTGAAACTTTTAAAATTTGGTGTTCTTGAAATCGAATTTTTATTTGAACGTAGAATTTAGAAAAATAAACTTATTTCAGCTTTGTTCCGGAACTTTTCTGGCTAAAGAGAATTAATGAATTTTCTCTTCGTACTTGTAAAAAGTACGGGAACCAGGCCTACCAGATTTGCCGATTTATCGGCATTTTGCCGATATTTTACCTTCCAAATTGGAAAGTGACGATTTCCCGACTTTTGCTTCAAAAATGCCGATTTTATACCCAATCGAACAAATTAAAGAATTTATTATAACTTTACATAAGCAAAAATTACATGGAGCTTTTAAAACAATTGGGAAAGGAAAATTTACAGTACGGTAGAACACAATTTGCTCCATCACCAATGTCAATTGGATCGATTATGAAAAGGAAACACAATTTATGTATGAAAATCCTGAAGAGGTTCTAAAAATCTGATCTAAGGGTGCTAAAATTTTAAAATTTTTAAGAAATTTTTTATGGTTCGAAAATAAATTTACACATTTTTGTGGAAAAGTTAAAAAATCTGGAGAAAATTTCCCATTATAAAAATGTACTCAGCAAAATCTTTACCTATCCGGTTTTTGTTCGACGATAACCAATAACAAATGTGATAACCCCACTTTCTTGGATTTAAAATCGGCTTTGCACTAATTTTCTGTGTTTATTAGTCTATTCTATTTGATCGTGCAATTTGGAATGGTTTTAACAAAAATTTAAAAAACAATATTTTTTGAAAAAACTTCTAATATTGACTAGGATTAGAACCATTAACTAATTCCACATTAGACACACGCTCTAGACAATTGGTTACAAATCCTATTGTAAAAATTAATTAATATTGTTGATAACGATCACTCACTGTCAAGTAATGTATGAAATAACTACATCATTCATAACCAAAATTTGAAAATTTTTTACAGCGTAAATGTATAGTAATCCACAAATAATTATACATTTACATTTTTCTGCAAAAGTGATACAAATTCTAATAGATTTTATTCCAGTAAACCAAAGTTTCGGTGTACCCTTACAAAGAGTTCTTTTATTAGACCTATTCTGAATAAAAATTCCCTGAGTTATGAATGTATGTAAAAACAATATTGTGATTTTTGAATTTATTTGTGTTATGTTTCTTTGGTACAAAATAGTGTTTCTTTCAATTGTCGATTTATTGCCGATTTTTAAAACGTAAGTGCCGATAAATGCCGATTTTTTGGGAAAAAATTGCCGATATTTCTACAAATTTATCTGGCAGCCCTGACGGGAACAGAAAAAACTAAATTTCTCTTTCAATAAATAAAAAATTTCAAACATTTTTCTCAATTTTGTTCTCTTTTACAACTTCTGGTAAAAACCTGTAAACATGACATTAGAATAAAATTACATTCGATTTACTTTCCACTAGATATGTGTACTCGGTTTTAAAACGAGAAAAATTATGCGAATTCGTTTTTAAACGAGAAATTTACCTGGATTCGGTTTATAGAACAGACTGGACTATATAATATTAGGTCTGTTCGCGTACTTTCCAGTAAAAAATATCCAGTAACTTTATTTTAGAGAGGAATTTTTAATTATCAACGAACTGTCATTTTATATAGGCCGATCCTCGTAAAACTGTGTGAAAGGGTTTGTTTTTAGTTTTTAAGAATTTTTTATCCATCGCTCCATAAATTCTCACAAAACTTTTGTGCTTGTACTGTTTTGTTGTTATAAACAATATATTTGCTTCCAGAATCCCACTTTCTGATCCCTCGGATTCCGTTTTTATCTAAAATCGTTGAAAATATAAAAGTATAAATATAAAGCCACCGCCGACATATTTAGTGTCAGTAGCCGCCGCCGTTAATATTTGTCGGCGCAGGGCTCTGTTCCCCATAAACGTTTGCAGCAGCTTTTTTGGTTTTTTGACGAAAAATTTTTCAATTGATAAATTCTACATTTTTAATTCATATTCTCCATGGTTTTAATTGGTAAATACGTTTATGATTAATTAACAGACCATATTAATTGTGAAATTATGTCCTATTATACGCGTAAGGAGATTGATGAATTACACGATGACATTGCCTCGCTGGCTGCCAAGGCTACGGCGGATGAGGAGGAAAAACGTTCTGTTATATCTTCCATAGAGCATTCGCTACACAATGGCTACGATCGTCGACGTATGTGTGAAAAGTTGGAAAAATATTTAGATGCTAAACAGAGTTCACGGTTGGTGGATAAACTGCAAGACCGTTTAGATGAGTACAAGAGAAAGGCTCGCAAACGTAATGGTGGTTCGGAAGACAACAATTCAAAACCGGATGGATCAGCTCCCGAAGCACCCAAAAAGTCGCGTTTCGATGTTGTCATACCAAAATCGAATGGAGACAAAGCAACAGCACCGCCCCCAGTGGTGGCTAATCCAGTGTTATCGTTACCCGTAGCTCCCCCTACCCTAACCACAGCTTCGTCTTCACTGAGTAGCAATCAGATTAAATTAATGATGGTTAATGCCCAACGTGAAATTGAGGAACGCAAAAGGGCTTTAACTCAACTGAAAGCCAAAGATCCCATATTAGCTTCCGTACCACAGATAGGTCTGCCGGTGGCTATGGCTAGTCAGGCTTTAGCTAAACAGCCACCACCGGAAGATATGGATAAAGCCAAGAAAATTGCCGAACTGCAAGCACAGATTCGAGCAAAACTTTCAGGTTCCTTGGCAAATCTTATACAACCGCCAGTGGCTCCCACCACTGATCGTCCCAAACCCTTGATTTTAGATGAAGATGGCCGCACGATAGACAAAAGTGGTCGTGCTGTTAATATACCCACACTAACTCCAACTCTCAAAGCCAATATTCGTGCTCAAAAGCGAGAAGTTTTTAGCAAATCCCAAACCTATTCCGAAAAGTCTTCCTCTCAAGAGGATACTGTGAAATTTTTCGATGATCGTATAGCTATAAAGCCCGGCAATCGCAATAAAAGAGCTTTGCGTTTCCACGAACCAGGCAAATTTCAACAGATGGCCGAGAGAATGCGCATGAAAGCTCAACTGGAACGTTTACAGAATGAAATTTCACAGATTGCCCGCAAGACCGGCATTAGTTCAGCCACAAAATTGGCACTTATTGCCCCAAAACAAGATACGCCCGACGACGTGCCATCCATGGAATGGTGGGATTCGGTAATATTGACCAACGATCTGTATACTCTGGATGAAGATGGCAAAATTAGCATAAGACAATCGGCAATTACTAATTTAATTGAACATCCCACACAAATGAAACCGCCGAGTAAGTAAAGCGTTTTATGTTTCTTCAATTGAAGTTCTCGTAATCTTTTTCTCAAAAATATAAAATTCAAATGTTTAGAATAGGATCACTTAAGTTTACTGATGACGCCTTTAGCGATACAAAAAATCAATTCCAAATTGTCAAATGTTAAGTTTGCAATGTGGTATTCAAATTTTATAAGAATTTATAGAGAATTGGTCAATTTATTTAGGAAATTTATTAGAATTAGAGATCAATTTCTATCGAAAATGTTTAGGAACAAAAGATTCCTTTTTTGGGATTCTTTTTTTGTGAGCTAGAGAAAAATATTAGAATTTTTGATCAGTTTGCATAAGGAAGCCAAAGATCACATTCTAAAGAAAGTTTGTGGAAGTTAGCACCGTTAAAAATTTCTGCTTTAAAATCAAACTAAAATTTCCCTTATTTATTGTAAATTTTAGATGAACCGTTGAAACCTGTCTATTTGCCAGTATTCCTTACCAAAAAGGAACGTAAAAAATTACGTCGTCAGAACAGACGAGAAGCATGGAAGGAGGAACAAGAAAAAATACGTTTGGGTCTAGTACAACCACCGGAACCCAAATTACGTATATCGAATCTAATGCGTGTTTTGGGCACTGAAGCTGTACAAGATCCTACCAAAATCGAAGCTCATGTACGTGAACAAATGGCCAAGAGGCAAAAGGCTCATGAAGATGCTAACAATGCTAGAAAGTTAACGGCTGAACAGAAGAGTGAAAAGAAAATACGCAAAATTAAAGAAGACACTTCGTGCGGTGTGCACGTAAGTGTTTATCGTATACGAGATCTGCAGGATAATGCTAGTAAAAAGTTTAAAGTGGAAACAAATGCCAAACAGTTGCATATGACGGGTACGGTGGTTTTGTTTCGTGACTGTTGTGTTGTTGTTGTCGAAGGCGGGCCTAAACAGCAAAAGAAATACCGACGTCTCATGTTGCATCGCATTAAATGGGAGGAGGATATGGTTAAAGGTCCAGATGGCCAAGAAGTTCCTAATTCCTGTGTACTGGTCTGGGAGGGCACTAGTCAACGGCGACATTTTGGTGAAATTAAATTTAAAATTTTTCCCATGGAAAAAATGGCCAGAGAATTCTTTCAGAAACATCAGGTCGAACAATATTGGGATTTATCCTACTCTGGAGCTGTTTTGGAAGCTTCTACCGATGAGTAAATGTTATCACATGTGTTATTTCTAGAAACGAAATTCTTATCTTTAGGTCTATATTCAGGAAAATAAACTTTTCTTTATAAAAAAATAAAACAAATAAAAAGTTGATTTTTGGAAAATCTATACTAAAACTATTTTCTCATTTATTGTCAGTATCATTCATTTCTACTTCTTCATCAGCACTTTGCTGGACAGCAATATATTTCTTAACTTTATTAACCAAAACATGGCGTATAGTATCCAGCATTCTTTGATTAATAGCAAGTGAATGATCGCACAAACGTTCTAAAGTTTCGGGCAGAACATAACCCTTTTGAAAGAATTCTGATACTTGTCCCACAGCCGATAGACTAGCAGTTACCACTATGCCCTGCTCTTCAACGACAGTGCCATCTTTATCCTCGCAAGCTGAGAGTGCCAACAGTAAATCTTCCACATCAGCTAAAATATTATACAATAAAGCAATATGTTTATAACTTTAGTAATTTATCATTATATTACCAGTAGGATTAATAAATTCCTGCTGCTTTAGCAGGCACACGGTTGAGGCGGTTATCAGATCATAGGTTGGTATGCCTCCCTCAATTAAAGCAGCACCACAGCAATTAATGGCCGTACTTAAGGCACAACCATCATCATCTATGATTAAAACTTTTATTTCCAATTGAAAATTGGCAAATTCATGACGACATATTACCGGCTCCAAAGCCTTCTTCAAAGCCACACTCATGAAACTTCCTTTGCGTGCTATTACCTCGCTGTCGATGTTGGTAAATGGAGCATATTTAACACTGCATATAACTAACCCCAGGGTGCCACTAAAACATACATATATCAGTTATGAATTTTTCTCTAAAGAAATCTTATACGAGTTTTTGCCTTACCATCTATTATTCTGTTTGCTTATTTCTTTAGGTGGTTCCACTTGGGCCATTACCTTGGTATTGCCATATTCCATATAGGCGGAACCCTTAACATTTGATACTGCTCCCACTTTTAAAACTGCAATGGCTTTCATTGTTATAGAATTTATTGAAATCGTTAGTTACTCACATGTCGGTCTGGGTTCCAGTTCCAAAGTTTTTGGTTTAGGCAATCTATCAAATAATTCCTGTGGATCTTCTTTGGCCTTATAAATGCCAAATTTGATCTGCGATTCATTTCCCAGGGAATAGGACATTTTTATAAACTAAATTTAATTCAAAAATTTGTTGTTAAATTATAAATTTTCTATTTACTACTTCAGCGCAAAGTAAATTTATAAAGTAGACTCATTTGAACAGCTGACTATTTTTTTAAACTTGCTATTTGTGGACTTACTTGTCAAAAATGTTTATGTTGCCATATTTGCTTTCATTTTAACGCTTGCTTTTGTACAAATTTCTGAGTAATTTGTTGTATTTAATATGAAAAAGTGTATTTTAAGTGTATAATATTTTTAAAAATGTTCTAATTTTGAAAAAATAAAGAAAACTCTGTGACTTTTAATATAAATAACAACATATTTTTGGAAAGTACAACAATAATGCCATATTTTCCATTAATTATTGGTTCATTTTTGTAAACAAATTTTGACAAGTGATTATTTCGAACAAAAACAAATTGCCTGTGGTTTTTGTAGACGTTTGTTGTACAACAACTCGTGTCGCTACTTTATTAATTTACCTTGCTTCAGCGTGTTTTTTCAAATGTTTTATTGTTTATTTGTTAAAGAAGACACTGTTGGTTGTCAAAAGTTATCGATAATTTAGTGCTGCCAGGTGATTGTTTTTTAACTCAGAGATTTTATTGTGTTTTTCATTTCGTTTACAACTAACAAACTATAGTTACTTAGGTTCTAAACTAACTAAACTAACTAACTAACTAACTAACTAACTAACTAACTAACTAAACTAACTAACTAACTAACTAACGGAACTCACGAACTAACTAACTAACTAACTAACTACACTAACTAACTAACTAACTAACTAACTAACTAACTAACTAAACTAACTAACTAACTACTAACTAACTAACTAAACTAACTAACTAACTCAACTAACTAACGACACTAACTAACTAACTACGAACTACTAACTAACTAACTAACTAACTAACTAACTAACTAACTAACTAACTAACTAACTAACTAACTAACTAACTAACTAACTAACTAACTAACTAACTAACTAACTAACTAACTAACTAACTAACTAACTACTAACTAACTAACTAACTAACTAACTAACTAACTAACTAACTAACTAACTAACTAACTAACTAACTAACTAACTAACTAACTAACTAACTAACTAACTAACTAACTACTAACTAACTAACTAACTAACTAACTAACTACTAACTAACTAACTAACTAACTAACTAACTAACTACTAACTAACTAACTAACTACTAACTAACTAACTAACTAACTAACTAACTAACTAACTAACTAACTAACTAACTAACTAACTAACTAACTAACTAACTAACTAACTAACTAACTAACTACTAACTAACTAACTAACTAACTAACTAACTAACTAACTAACTAACTAACTAACTAACTAACTAACTAACTAACTAACTAACTAACTAACTAACTAACTAACTAACTAACTACTAACTAACTAAACTAACTAACTAACTAACTAACTAACTAACTAACTAACTAACTACTAACTAACTAACTAACTAACTAACTAACTAACTAACTAACTAACTAACTAACTAACTAACTAACTAACTAATAACTAACTAACGAACTACTACTACTAACTAACTAACTACTAACTAACTACTAACTAACTAACTAACTAACTAACTAACTAACTAACTAACTAACTAACTAACTAACTAACTAACTAACTAACTAACTAACTAACTAACTAACTACTAACTAACTATCTAGCTAACTAACTAACTAACTAACTAAAGTAGATTATCGAAAATTTTGACTTCCGTTTAAAGGTTAACATTAACCAAACATTAATTATCTGGCAACACTATAGCTTTTGGAACTCACGTCACTTTTTTATGGAATAATTTTTATTTTAAACCCACTGTAAAGCAAAACACGGGAATTTTAACGCAAAAGAAAAATATAAATTGTGTAAGCATTAGAAATTTTAGCATTTTAAAAGAAATAATAAAAGAATTATAATGCAGAAATCACAACTTTTAGCCGAGTACAATACGGTGGAAAAAATGAGCGAACCATGGCCCGAAGATGCTACTCTCTATCAGCCCTATGAGGCTGAACAAATTCTATTGCCAGAAAATGCCAGTTGTCTGGCTGTAAAGGCGTACCTCAAAATGTGTAACCTGCCCTGCGAAGTAAGATCGTGTGCCAACGCTGAGTTTATGTCTCCCGGTGGTCGAATGACGAAGTTGCCTGTTTTGCGTGCAGGGGCCTTTGTCTTTGCCGAATTTGAACCTATAGTCAATTTTGTAGAGCACAAAACTGAAGCTATTGGTCAGTGGTTAGATGAAGACGAAAAAGATGAAATGCGTACTTATGTCTCATTGACTGAGCACATCTTCACCATGGCTGAATTGTATGTAAGTTTTGTAGTTGACCGTGTTTATGAGGATATTACAGCACCCCGTAATGGCTGCGTGTTCCCCTGGCCATTAAATAAAATGCAAAACTTCTCGAAGAGGCGTCAAGCTAAGAAGCTCTTAAAAGTTTACCAATGGGATGATATGACCATAGAGGATGTCATCGAAAAGGTTAAGAAGTGTTGTGATACATTACAAATGAAATTACAAGAAACCCAAGGACCCTATTTCTATGGTGAACAACCCTGTGAATTGGATGCTATTGTTTTTGGACATTTATTTTCAGTGCTTACCATCAATCTACCCAATATGGCTTTGGCTCAAACGGTCCAACAATTTAAACCTCTAGTGCAATTTTGTCGTTTTATAGATGATAAATATTTCCAAATGAAACCATTGTAAAATATTTAAATGATATTTTATTGTTTTTGTTAGTGTGTTTTCTTTCTTGTCTCAGTCAATCCTAATAATAATAATGAACACAGCATGTCCTGCTGTTGGTTTATTATTGATTATTATATTTTACTAGTTTTTTTGTTAATAAAAAGAACAAATTGTATTTTTAAAATAAGAAAAAAAATTGATTTATAGTATTTGTTACCAACATGATGGTGAGTAATATAGTTCCATATCATGTTCTAATGATTTCTAGAGTTATTTTTGTTACAGTTCTGCTATTGTTTGAAGTTCTTCTGAGGATGAAAGTCCGTATATACTGATATCACTGAGATGAATTTAATTGACCGATGAAGATTCCAATCGTTCCTGATCGAAGATGTAATTATTGTAGAAGAGAATTTATCACGAATTCTTTACAAAATTAAGAATAAAAATTTCTTCATTAATTTTAATATAAATTCTCCAAATATTCTTTAAAAACTGGAAACTAATTGAAAATGCTCTATAAATTAAGAATTCATCATTGATTATCGAATATTTTCAACATTACTTTCCTATAGAATTCTCCATGTATTGAAAATGAATCGGATATTTTTCGTAAATTCAAAAACTATTTAAATTCTTTAAATTTAAATTCTTTACAAGTCGCGCGATTTGTGTTTTACTAAAATTACACACTCCTATCGCTTTGGTCAAACGTTCTAGTTACCCAAACATTAAATACCTTTCAATTTGTCCCTCTTGCAATATGATTTTCAAAGCATTACCCACATATTTTTCATTTCCATAAACATGGGCACAATCTATAAGGCGATAAACAATTTTAAAAGCATATTTAACTGCCTCTTTAGCTTGATCTTCTAAACTCTTGAAAGAAATTATACAAATTACAAAATGTTTAAAGTTTTAATAAAACTAACTCCCCATGTTCCAAAACCAAATGCTGGAATTTGTAGACCATTATTTAAGCTAATTTTCAATAATTTAACTGATGATGTTTGTAACATACAACGTCCTAGACCCACCTTAAAGTATACCAATCGGCTTAGAATCGTTTTCTGAGTCGATTAAGCTATGTCCGTCAGTCCGTCCGTCTGGCTGGCTGGCTGTCCATGTAAACCTTGTGCGCAAGGTACAGTTCGCAATTTTCAAGATAATTGGATGAAATTTGGCACGCACGTTTTATTTGACCCAAGGACGAAGCCTATTGAAAATGGTTAAAATCGGTCCATTATTTCACCTAGCCCCCAGAGAACAGAACCCCCCGAAAAGGGCTTCTGAGCTCATAATTATGTTAAATATACAGATATATCAATAAAATACTGCACAACTAAGTTTTATAGAAGTCTTGATGACCCTGCCAAATTTCATAAAGATCGGGCCCCATTTGACCCTAGCTCCCATACAAAGTCCCCTTCAGAAAATTTCTTGAATGTCCCAAATTAACTTATAAACACAAATATCGCGATGAAATTCAGCACAATAAAATATTATGTAAATATAAATATATTCACAAAATTTTAACGGGCTTGGTCCATATTTGCCCATAGCCCCCATATAAAGCCTTTTTCATAAAATTAGTTTTTCATCCATAAATTGCTTAAATGTATCGGAACAAGGGAATATTGAAGATAAATGCTTTATTATGTATATGTATATAAATCACATTTAATATTCATAACTGGTGTAGAGTATCATATCGTCGGCCACGCCCGACTATACTTTCTTACTTTTTTATAATTGGACTTACTTAGTCATTTGTATTGCCCTTAAATGTACACATCTTCGGTACGAGATCTTTTGCAAATATTTTGGAATGATTTGTTTAAATAATCAATAAATAAAATATTTTATTGCAAATAATACAGATTTCGCAAAAACAATTTTTTTATATTTTTAAAAAATAAATTTTATCAATTTTTCAAAACGCATTCCCCAAACATTAATTTCGACCAGTAATTCTTAAAGCCTTCGATAATAAAATTTATAAAGAATTTGATAGTAAAATGTATAAATATTCCCAATATATAAAAAAAAATCGGATAATGATTGAAAAATTCTCTATTTACATCGAATTTTTAATGACCACTATTTTATGGTGAATTTTGTAATAAGTTCTGACTATAGTCAAGACTTTTGTCTGGACTATAATCTTGACTATAGATTTCACTATAGTTTTGGTATATTAGTCCTTGAACTATAATTTTGTATATGGTCCTCGATTATAGTTTCGTTTATAGTTTTGACTATAATTTAGGACTATAGTTTTGGGCTAAATTCTTGGAACTGCTGAGTAGAATCTGTACTATAGTCTATAACGAAAGTGTAGACTGTTAGCCTGTGCTAATCTATCGATCTATCTATCTATCTATATCTATTATCTATCCTATCTATCTATCTATCTATCTAATCTATCTACTATCTATCTATCTATCTATCTATCTATCTATCTAGCTATCTAGCTATCTATCTATCTAATCTATCTAGCTATCTATCTATTATCTATCTATCGATCTATCTATCTATCTATCTATCTATCTATCTATCTATCTATCTATCGATCTATCTATCTATCTATCTATCTATCTATCTATCTATCTATCTATCTATCTATCTATCTATCTATCTATCTATCTATCTATCTATCTATCTATCTATCTATCTATCTATCTATCTATCTATCTATCTATCTATATAGGATTATATTCTAATGTTTATATAAATCCCAGTCAGTTTGATAAATTTGTTTTTATGCAAAATTCAAATATATTAAAATAATTTAAAAGACGAATTTCCTTTTCCTGTTTTACCACATTTTCAATTAATTATTCTTTTTACAATACAACTCTGTTTTAAAAAGGCTGTCAATTAGTGCTAAAAAATGACAACCAAAAAGCTTTTTTTTTAACTCGTTGACAAAAAAAAAACACAAATTCGGCTATAAAAACACAAACAGCTGTTGAGAGAGCTTCACTTTTTCATAATTTGCCGGTGAATTTGTGTGCCAAACGTCACACATCTCTTAATTCAGTGATTAATAAAGAAAATTAAGGAAAAAACCTTATCTGTAATAGTTATTTAAACTATTAACAATAATTAATTTTATAAAAAACAAGTGTTTTGTGTAAATAGAACAAATTCAATTGAACAAAATGGTGAATGTACCAACTATAACTTTGAACAGTGGACACCAAATGCCTGTTTTGGGTTTGGGAACATGGGGTGTAAGTATTGAAATCTAATTAAAGAAACTATTGAAGAAATTTAGCAAAATCATGTTATTTGTTGTAATATAGCAGATAAAATTAGCAAGTTTCAAAATTGATGGCATTGGTTAAAGGGGAAAGAATATTAATAATTCTTATATCATTTATAGAATGAAAGTTATTTTCTAATATTTCTAGTTTTATTTCAATTAATTATGCAAATTTAGTTTATTTTAGTATTCTTATAGTGTATAAATTTTAAATTGCATATTGCATTCAAGGTCACAATGGGTAGGGAACACAAAGAATTCTATATCGTAATATTTATTTAAAAAGCTGCCAGATGTTGTAATGTTTTTGTAATAGGAAAAAAAAGGGAGCAGGCAGATAGAGAGGTAGGTTGTGTTTGAAATCGATGAGGAAGTTTTTTTTTCTTTTGCGAATCTAGAATATTCATAAATTTGTATTGGTATTAGTAGCTATGAGATAGTGTTATATTAGTTTTATGAAGACAGTAGAGTTAGACTAATAAATTAAATGTGGTTTAGTGGTAAATCTTGAAGATTTTCTTTAATAAAAATTAAAAAAATATAGTATATGTGAATTTCTAAAGTTCAATAGATTCGATATCCTAATCTTGACTATATTGTGTACTGTAGTATGTATAAAAGTATTGAACAGTCTGTACTATATTCTTGTCGAAAGTCTGTACAATAGTCTTGACTAAAGTCTGTACAATAGTCTTGACTATTGTTTGTACTACAGTCTGCTCTATAGTCTGTACTGTAGTCTTGACTATAGTCTGTACTGTAGTATTAACTATAGACTTTACTATTGTCTGTACTATAGTCTTGACTATAGTTTGTACTGTAGTCTTGACTGTAGTCTATATTATAGTCTTGACTATAGTCTTGATTATAGTCTGTACTATAGTAATGACTATAGGTTGTACTATTGTTTAGACTATAGTCTGTTTTAAAGATTTGAAGTTAAAATTCATTCTTTAAAGTTTGCTAAACATATATAATTTCACCATAAATACTATCAAAGTAATAAATTTAGATGCTCCCATTAAAAAAAAAATATATACATATATATTTACAATGATTAAACCCCCATTAACTTAACATTCAATAAAGCCTATCACCTAAAACAGTTTTATATTTCTAAAATACTAAAATTGTTTTCTTCGTCATTACTCTTATCAGCTATAATTTATTATTGCGATTATTTAATCAGCTAGAGTAGCGCTGTTTTTACAATTCCTGTTGATAAAACAAATGGCAATTTATTAGTGAAAAAAGAAAAATTCGCATCCAATGGCCAAGTGTTTAAGTTACAATAAATACGTAAAAATATTCCATTAAATACTAATAAAATGTAATAAAACACAAATTGTTGACCCTCTACAGCAGTGATAACAATAAGTAAATTATTCGCTTAATTGGTTTCATTTTAACATAATTAATTATTAGTAAATACAAATCAAATTATGTACAATACATACATTTATTTTTAAATATATACGGCAACAGTAAACTAAACAATTAAAATAACATTTAAAATGTTAGAATTTATTAGGGCTTGGAAACAAATTGTTATGGTCCGAATTATTAAATTTAATTACTGCCTGGACAGAGATAAAAATGTCTAATTTATTTGGTGTTTTGTCGGAAGATTTATGTAGCAGATTAAAGGGTTTAATTTTTTAGTTGTTGTTGCTTTTATAAATAGACTGTTTTTTTAATTAAGTTATTTTAATCTAATGGGTTTTGTCTGTTTCTCTATGTCTGTCTTTCTGTCTGCTAACAATTTTGTTTATAATTAAAGTTTTATTTAAAATACATATCTAGGCTTTTTTGTTATTGTTTGAAAAAAAGTTTATTGACTATTTGCGATAAGATTAGGAATTTAACAAACAATTTCTAGTTCAACTAGTTCTAATCTTAAATGTTAGAAAACAGGATTACATGTT